ACAAATATTGTAAACAGTTAATGTACTCTACTTAAGGGGCATGCACTACACATGTCTTAAACTTTAATATCATTAATTTATGTCGAGTTAAAATTGCAAAATATAATAAATATTTGATTTCCAAAAAACCCCACAAGAAAAACACACAATGTATTTATGTGGTATTTTATATACAGTATAACTGAATAAGCTATAATCCTATATATTACCTTGTCACCCTTGTATGTGAAATTGTCTTGTTTTGTATCATGTCAAAACTTCTTTATATAGCTTGCATTTTATTTAAACTGTTTCAATCTCGTGCTTTCTTCATGCTACTTCGGCGTAATGCCGTAATGTTTAAATTACATGAAGTATATCGCATACTAGGAGTTACAATCACAAGGAAAGTGCTGCCGTTTGGCGACGTGAACTGAATGCAAGAGAGTATACTTCTAGACAATTCTCTAAAGAGAAGTTTACTCCAATTAATGACTAATCACAAACTTATTATTAAACTGTGAGTCTGTGTGCACGGAACACGGAGCAACCGACATGAAAATGAGGCCATTGGGTCAAAAGTGGATAAACGGCATACCCATTAGCTGGTAATGCACTCTACTTTAGTATTAACTCGTCTAACCCCAGACAAATTTACACTCTGTAACGCCAGACGATTTTACTTGTCAGTGTTAGAGTACTGTCAGTATTAAATTTTTAACAAACCTATCTGCCAATGTCTCTTATTAGCCCCCATTGGCTGGCAATGCGACCTACTTTAGTATTTACTGTGATACTGTCTATCAACGCCGGACAACTTTACATGTGAGTGCCAGTAAACGGGTTAATTTCTCGTCACGCCCCAATTTAAAATTTTTACGATTTTTATTGTTTCTAATTGTAGATATCTCAGCGAATATCCCCCCCCCCTTTAAAACGAAAAGCACCATTGTAATCCTGACAAAACATCCTTTAAGGCCTTCACAACTGACCAAACCAAACAATGAATCATATATTTACAAAAAAAACTTGAATATCTTCCAAACTCTTCACAATTTGCTCAATGAGAGTATTAAAAATCAGCCTTGTATTCAAGCGCTTTCATGTAGAAAGTTTCGTTTGAATACGGCGAGTACAAATTTTTATTTTGAATGTTTCGGGTCTTTATTCGCACGCGCACCACGTGTATGCTTGGCCATATTATAAAAGAATCAAATTGTCTGATGCACCTTATTTAAGGAATTTTAAGGAAATCTGAGGAATTTTCGAGCTTATTCTAAGGAATTCGAAAATTTGATTGTGAGAGCACTGGATGCACGTGCAAACCACTGCCACTGGGAGTACTTTGACCTGTAGAATGTTTTGTTTTGATCGCTTGATGCTGCGCTAAAAATATAACGGATTGATTTTATTTTGCAAATACCGAAATAAAAGATGAAAATCTGAAGATACAAACTTGAAAATAACATTCTATAAATAGTATTAAGGATTCTGGTTCGAATATTTCATCATAGGCATAGTGTATTTATATAAATGACAATACTCGACTTTGAAGAAACAATTTAAAATTAAATTCTCAAACTCTTTCATAATACATAGTAGCCAGAGACTAGCTCGTAGTAGGTAACCATAAAGTGGATAGCCATAGACATGGTAGTCTAACTCTTCATAGGCATAGCCATAGCAGATATATGAACCCTGTTTCACTCGATATTCGCAACGTCTTTAATAAACCGTGGGTTCATTTAATACATCAACATAAAATTTTAAAACACTGAATATATAAGCCAAACTTACAGATATAATCACTTTTAATGCATTTGTTCGAACACTGACTGACACAATCAAAGGCAAACTGGGCAGGTTGTTTGACTCAGTGTAGCACATAAAATGTTATTTAATATTTAATAGGAACTAAAGTCTAAACCGTAGACGCAGTCTCAAAATCGTACGTGGATGAATACTTCCACGAATATTACCAGTAAAGTTGTGGCATATAAACTGCACTTGTAATACCTTTAAAATTATGATCACTTCCTGACACATGGAATATATCTTTCACGACTGTGAACTGTGTGAAGACACGTTCATTAGCATTCACGTTTCCCTGATGTGTCACCTCCCCGTGGCCCCCCGGTTTGCCGACGGACATCTAAATTTTGAACAAATCTCGATTCACATCGACAATACATAACTCGGCCAAAGAGACTGGGCACAAGTGAATTTCAAGGATAGTGTGCAATAAATGGTAGGAATTCTAATTTCTAAATTATTTTAAAATTAAAAACAAAATAATACAGTATTCAACAAATGGCGTATTACGTCGTGGTTTTAGGTTCTGCAAACAAACAACAACAAAAGATATATTGTATGGTATGTACGATGTAATCATTGTTTTACTGTCTATTGTATATACAGGTCTGGAAAATGTAATAGATGAGAGTTGCAAATCGCTCATAACCTCACGTATATTTTTCGTTTGATAGCCACTATAATTATTACTAGGCGCTAGAGTATAACCATGCACATGTCGAAGTACAACCATTGTATACAATGCAGTGCTCGATGTTACATGCAACAGTGCACAAATTACAGGATGACTTTATTATATAAATCAACACTCGTACTAATTGACTTTCCTAGTCTCCTACTGTTGTTCTAATTAACAGCATTAGGCTTTGAAAAGCCATGTAGATTATAGATTAATTTGTAGCCCAGCCTCCATAGTCCATATAAATTGTAGCCCAGCCTCCATTTACACCAATAATGAAATTAACTCATTCTGGTAACTAGCTCAATTTTGTTGCTGGTAGTGTATGGGATCTATGGGTCTTTCAGATCCCAGAATTACCTAATTATTGTAAAGTCTGCATAAAGCATTAAAAGGCTCTGTTTTTGTCAATGACCGGTGCCTATTGAGTGACCAAATATTGTCAGGCTAATCCACTTATTTGATTGTTAATTCATGTTGCATTACTTTTGATTGCAAAGCACCTGGATTACATGATTTGCTCGTGAAATGGCAGCAATTGATAAACTTGAGTACATGGGCTGAATGTATCAAACAGGATGCATGTTGGCGATTTTAGGCGATTTAAGAGAAATTCGACAATTTTAACCCGCGATTTAATGCGATTTTAGGCGATTTAAGGCGATTTACCGCCCCAGAGTAGGCCTAATGTTAATTGAGTCAGTATTGTTTTTCAAGGGCAGATGCATAACCTTTTGACTAGCCAGTTGAAAATCTTTTTCTGATATTATGGTATACACAAGCCGGTAATGGTCTTGTGTTATCCCACCCAAGAAAACCGAAAATGTATCTAATGACCCATCTGTAGGCAACAGCTTTTAAGTACCTATAAATGATACAGTAAAATTGTGACAAGGCAAAATCCTTAGAAAAAAACTTTTTGAAACATCAGTATACCATTGCTCAAAACCTAATGAACAGTGAAATGTTCTTTTATGATGTGTGGAGAACACTTCGCTTGGAGCCCAGGTACACACGAGAGCTCTTGAATGAGTAAACAAGGATTGTTTTGGCTGAGAATTTTACCTGCTGAAACTGTCAGACAAAACTCGGTTGTGCTTGGCATAAAAATAACTTGCTGAGCTACAGCCTATGTTTAGCAGGCTATATATATTAAATAAGCAACTTACGTTTGTTTTCACATACCCATTTTTGCCTTGTCCTTTTTTCTGCTTCTACGATCTTCCCTGCCTATCCTTCAATAGTGGGCCAACGTGATCTAAAACAACAGTCTGGGTCAATGGCTTGGTAGTCTTCATGCTGTGTTATGCATTGTATGCTCTCTATGCTGCCATTAAAACATAATTTGGCAATTGCTTCGTGGACTTCCGAAGAGCATATGTATTCTCTTGCACCATTCAGCAAGGAATAATCACATTTAGTACACGAGCACCTACATATAATACAGTCACATAAGTCAAAACTATAGGTACGTAGCAACTGATTTATTATAAAGAAGATTATTGAACTAGTTGAGTGATGTGATTATTGTGATATATTCATATGTAATTCGAGCGTGTGCGAAGCTTAGTTAGTTAGTTAGTTAAAGCATTTATTTATTCACGAAAATAAAGTACAACATTGGTGATGTGGTCGTGACTAAGTCAGTACAGACTATTTACAATTTGAGAACCTAATTTGATCTAAATTATAAAGCTAAATTCAATAAGTCAAATCGATCGCTCTCTAAGCTAACCTTAATTTAAAGTTCGTACAAGATTTTTAAACATTCTAAAGTTTTTTTCTCCTCCCTTGTCATTATTTAAAGAGTTCCATAATTTTGCTCCTTGAAAAGCCAATGGCTTCTTTAAATAATCGGTACGTGGTTTGGGCAGCAAAATTGTCATTTTTCTGCGCAGATTGTATTGACTGACATATTTAGTGAACAGCGCCTGGAGCGATTCCGGATGATATCCATCATGACACTTGAAAACAAAGACCGACAATCTTCGAGAATACATTTCCTCCAATGTTGTCCACTTTGTTTCGCGCAGAACCACATCTTCAGGTGTTTGGCACTCCAGTCAATAATAATTTTCGCTGCACGGATGTGTATGCGCTCCATCTCAATGATAAATGTTTTACCTCAGGATCCCCAAATAAGTTAACCTACGTAATTAAAGGTAGTATGACTTTATTATAGAATTGCAGTCTTTCGTTGGTAGGTAGAAAGTAAGGTGACTTTAGCTTTTGTGAAAATAGCTTAACCAGCTCTGTAACATGGATGTTCCATTTCAAGTACTATCGGTATCCAGATGTTAAACAATGGTATAAAGACGTTTATTTGTAGAATTTTAGTGTTTAAGTTATTTCATTTATTTTAGAGAACAAAAGCAGTTGTTCGACGGCATGCAGTCTGCGCAATTATTAGCATTTTCAAATAATACATATTTTAAACAAGCCTTTGCTTACCATTCGTTTAAAGGTGTTTCTATCTCAAATCTCCATTCCAATACATGTAAAAAAAGCCATCAATGTCGACTTCTTCCTCTTATTCTTCCATTTTTTCGCCGTGTAAAATCGGTTCGTCTTCATATGGCGTCGTAATGGCAGCGCCAATAGCTACAACTTCGTAGTCCGAATTAACCTTGTTGTCTTGATCGCTTTCTGCCGATGAACAATCATTTGGAAAGCTCTTCGATTCACCAGTTTCACTCTCAGACATTTGGACAGTAAAAAGTAATAAAAACAGCGAAGGAAGCCTGAACTTCTTTGACCATCGCAGACCAGCGCAGACCAGCAGACGGTGCAATTCACATATGTAAATGAAGCTAAATTTCTTTACACAAAACAAGTCACTCATCATTGCGACGTCACTCTTTAGAATCGATTTTCACATTGCCATGTAACTTTAGAAGAGAATTTAAGTTAATTCTGTTTCGAATATTTTGGTGATCATGGTATCAATTTGCTCAATAAACGCCACACGTTTATAATTTATTAAAAACCAGATATCGAAAATTTCGACGCATAAGGCCTTTAACCAACTTGCCAAGCTTCAATATTTGTGAAATTGGAAGGCTTTTGAGGTACACAGTTTTTCTTCCATTGGCATTTCAAGCATCACAGTTGAAACTGTTGGCAATGAAATAGGTCTATAACTTGGTGGTACAAATGAGTCAAATTTCTTGCCAATCTTGGGCTTTTTCTTGGCCGGAGGTGTGAAACTGTGACCGTCCTCGTTTCTCTTGCTTCATCATCCTGAACAGGGACAACTTCTTTGCGCAAATTGTTAGCCATTCCCTCAAAGCATGCTATGGCAAAGTATACTATGGCAGTCCTGATCCGCCGGTTGTAATTTAGTTTCAAACATTTTTATTTATTTTTTATTTAAAAAAATATAAATTTATTTTTTAAACTTTTTAAAAAAATTTTTATTATTTTTTTTAACATTTTTATGTACCAGAAAAAAATATAAAAGAAAAAAATAACAACTTTAAAAACTAAATAAACAAAACATTGAACGGCAGGCTTGTGCCACCATACATTTGCGATTTCAATCGGCAATATTATGAAGCCATTTTTCTTCAAACTGGTATGAAAATAACTTTGGGCAGCTAAAAGCCTCGTGATTTTTGTTTCTGTGTAAAATTTTGATCCGTCAATACAATATTTAATGCACGCAAATGTGCTAAAGTTCAATTACCTTGTGTGATACACCCTGTAGTTTAATACCTTGCTCAAAGTTGCTTAGTATGCTCAAAGTTGTTATTAATAAGATATTCTTTTCCTAACAACACATTTAGTTAACGTTTTGGAGTCAGAAATATTGTCGTCTGAGCCGCTGAACTTTACGAAAGCCCTGATAAAATGGATTCCACAGGAAGGAAACTGGAGTGTGTGTTGGCGGGCAACAAGAGACGGTTGGGCAGCCGCAACCTTTCATGCTAGATGTGATGGGAAAGTACCGACACTTACAATTGTTAAAGTTTTCAAGAATGCCAAGAAAATTATTTTTGGTGGATTTGCGACCAAGACATGGGCTGGTAACGGTACGTACGTAAGATTGTGAACATTAAAGTTATACACATAATTATTACGAGGGTCCTTGTTGTTCTGTTAATGTTATTTTTCACATTTGTGTGGCAACGACAGGCTGTATTTAATTACTCTTCACTCAACAACTAGTTTCAGCTTGTTTTAAACAGGCGCATGTACATAAACTGTACCAACAGTAGGCCTACCAAAGAAATAAAAATATTACAAGGGTAGTCACAACAGAAAACAAAAAGGATGTTGTTAAATTCGTTCAAAGATGAAAATTGGCCAGCCAGTTTCAACTCACACTTTGTTTTAGGATCGTTCTAAAAGACTACTGCAATTTTTGCCCCATAGAAAAGAGCATTCGAATTCGCGGCCTAATTAGAAATGAAGCATATTTTGCTGAATTTATTTTGGCTTTGTAAGAAATAATGGCAGTAAGGTGTAGCTAAAATTAACATGTTTTTTTTCCTTGGCATGGGTAAATAATAGGGATCAGAGTCAGTGCCTCGTTCTTTAGAGAATCTCATCCATGCCTTTATTTCTTCCACCAAAAGATTATGCTTTTATCCGCGTTTGCCTGTGTATGTGCGTGTTTGTTTCTCTACCAGCACGGTAACTCAAACACTATAAAAGTATTAATACAAAAAATAGCTGTAACGTCATTATTAAAAAAATTTAATGCCTATAGATGCCGTTTAAATTTCAAAAGTAGTGTTTATAATATATAAAACACTAACTTAGTTCTCGGATGAGCTTTATCTAGAGACATATTAATTACCTGCGCTGGGAGGTTATGTTTTCGTCCGCGTTTGTATGTGTGTCTGTGTATTTGTCTGTCAGCACGTTATTATACGTACTATTACCAGACGTATCACTACGAAAATATGTAGGATTAGTAGGGATCGACTATTAGTCCAAACTGATCAAATTTTGGTTAATTTTGGGTAAAAATCGGACGAGAACTTCGTAAAAGTCTGTATTCCTATGCCGGCAGACTAAACCGAATGCGTAACTAGCGCATTTTATAATTCATGCATGCATGATACATCAGCTAAATCGCTTGGGGGGAGGGGGGGATGCAGTTTTAAAAGTAATAGCTGTTTACCAGAAAAATGCGTCGGAAAATATTTTTTATACATTTCGATTCCAGCAGACAATCTTGTCTGATAAAAAAATATTGTACTTTTTTCAGATGGTGAAGCGCGTGCCCCTGGATCATTTTTGTATTCTCTTCGCAATAATGATGACCTCACGGCTTTCAAGGCTCCGTTGATAAATGAGAATGATGAGTGGGCAATTAGCCGCTACAGCGTAGATGGACCAACCTTTGGTGGAGGGGAATTGTTCATTCCAAACAATGCGGTTTCAAATCCCAATACCCAAGCAGATTTTGGTACCCGTTACCAGCCTCCACATGGATACACTGCCAACCAACCCAACACAAAATCGCTCCTTGCAGGAAGTAGTGACTTTCTTCCATCTGAAGTTGAAGTATTATACTTAAATTGAAGCTGTGCTAATTATTCACTGAAGGTAAAAATTTTAGTAAACCAGACACGATATTCACGGCAAATAATTTAGCAAACACCTATTCCTTTCTTGGAAATCTCTTATCAAATAGACACTTGCCGGTTGAATGTAAATTTTCTGATAAATGTGCTTCTCTAAGTAAGTGCTTCTGTAAGGGAGTTTGTTATTTAAATCAGGTATAGTGTTCATTACGTTGTAGTAACTATGCCTCGAAATTTCCCACACTTTCTGTAACTGCGTTGTAATGTAACTTAAAACAGGAAATACATGCATGCAGATACGCTCGCCTGACTGACAAAATCATCATAATTCCGAACATGAAATATTTAAAGTAGTTGTCATGCTGGCACGATAATTTTATTAAGAATGTTTTTAAAACTGTTCATGAAAAAATGAAAAATCTCACGAAGATATCACTTTTAATTACAAAATTATCAATTTCCCAAACATATATATGTCAGGTATGCTATTAGATGTTATTATACGTAATATAAGGTAAAGTTAAACCACAAACGCCTCGCAAAACATTTTAAAATGTTCTTAAAACTAGACTGACATTTGTCGATAAACTTTAATTGAAATTCTTGTGTGAAAATAACTTATCTTTCCTCTTTATTTAAATATTTTAATATAATAAAAAACGTAACTGGCAAAAATACACTGTAATTATATGCCGTCTTTTTCATTATACGCAACGATCAGTTTTAAAGCAATTTTAAAGCAAACAACACATCAATATTTAAAATCATAGCAACTTCATTAAGTTCGGCGTCTTTGTACCTTCTTTTAGCAAGCCTTAGGTTAAATTCCTTAAAAAAGCTTTTGAAATTTGCACGTAAACAACAATATTGAGTAAGTTTGATTATTATATACCAAGTGTCAAAGTTCATGTTTTCTTGCATCTCATCGGACAAGAGCGCATCACGTGAAAGTCTCGTGACAACGTACAGCTCTGAGGGGGGGACTTTACTTTTATTCACCTATGAATAATAAAATCGTCAAGTTATCCAGCAAAACTCTTTACTCTTTTTTTCCTTGACACTTAGCCTGTGTACAGCCGTTACTCTCGACGAAACGCGCGAGAGAACGTCTGTGAGTTGGATGTATAATCCTTGTTCAGGTCACGTGGATAGTTCCCAAATTTGGGGACCGGCCTCTGATTGGACAGTGTTTTATTTAATTTGAAAATTTAATTTGATTTTTCACAATTCATTTACATACAAACAAGATTGATTACTGACACTATTACATAACACGCAAAAATACAACATAGGTGTGACTGGAGAGAGGAACAGGACTTGAGTCCCAATTGACACCTATAACTCCTAATAATAAATTACTATATATATGTATAGATCGACCAAACACATTACAATAATAGGAAACCATAGGATATTTTAATGTTAAGAACAGCCAGGAGGGCTGTAAAATAGCAATCGTTCTTTATACATTTTACGTAGTCTGGAACTGAATACAGATATTGATGTACAACTCTTAAGTTGCGATGAGAGGCTGTTCCACAGATTTGCTGACCTTACAAAGTCCTGCTTATGTTTGGTAATAAAATAGAAATTGTTTTCGTCGTACTAACGTGATGTATAGACTGGATCATAGGTACGTAAATAATTATTCACATCCATAGGTATGAGTCTGTTTTTTGATTTGTAAAACAATTGCAAGTCCAAGATTTCTCTGCGGAATTCGAGTGGAAAGAGGTTCGTTTTTATCAATCTTTCTTGATAGGACGTATTTTTGGGACAGTTCAAGATAAACTTAGTCGTCCGTCGCTGAATATTCTCGATTAGTGACCGGTGTTTGACAGTGCTAGCTGACCACACATTACTAGCGTATTCCAACTTGGACCTAAGGATAGAGTATTACAGTAATCTTCTTGTAGCGCAGTCATTTATGTCTCTGCAGATTCTTTTGATGAGTCCAAGAGATTTGTTAGCTTTCGCTGCAGTGACTTGGATGTGATTTGACCAAGAAAGATTACTGGAAACAGTGATACCGAGGTCCTTGATATTTGTGACTTGTTCAAGTGACTGACCATCGAGGTTGTACTGGTGTTTGTTCGGTAATTTCTTTCTCGAGATGTGCATGACTTTACATTTCTTTGGGTTGAATTTCATTTTCATATCAACGCTCCATTTGAGAAGGTTGCAACAACAACATTTTTTTTTTTTTTTATTTGTGTCTATATATAAATTTACATTTTTTTACAGTTTTATCACACTCACACTTGCAAGACACCGGTTGCTTAAATAACCATAATGGGCTAACTTAATAAGCAACCGTAGAAGAATATATATATATATAATATGTATATATCAATCAGCTAACCAAAATAATCACAAAAGAGTAATATTTTATGAATTTCTAAGATTGATTAGCTGACTGATACACAACAAAACAAATAATCAAAATGGCAAAAAATGAGTATACAGTATATATAATGAGCTAATATTTATCAAACATTGCTATAGTAATCTTTTTTTTAAAATTAGAAATTGACAGCGATTTAATCGATTCATCCAATGAATTCCAAATTTTTGGTCCATTGTATCGTATATTAAATTGTCCATAATTTGTTTTCACTTTTGGAAGAGAATATGATGTTTTGGCAGAAAGTCTAGTATTATAGTGATGTATTTCATTAACTCTAACGAAGAAATCATCAAATGTCAATGGTAGCATATGTTTATGATATTTAAACATAAAAATGGATGTATACAAATATGCTATATCAGCAAGTTTCAGCAGTTTAGTTGACTTAAACAAAGAACTTGACGGATCATCAAATCTAGAAAACGTCATGATGCGAACAGCTTTTTTTTGTAAGATAAACAACGGATTTATGATAGTTTGATACGTATTACCCCAAGCCACTACACCATATATTAAAAATGGATAAATTAAGGTATGATACAATTTAATAAGGCAGCCTAAATCAACATAATATCTGATCTTCGAGAGCAGGCCAATAGATCTTTTAATTTTTTTATTAATATAATTGACATGCTCTTTCCATCTAAGATTAGTGTCAATCATCACCCCTAAGTATTTAATACAATCTCGCTCCTTCAAAATTTTATCCTTAATATAAATCTTTAATGAAAATAATAATCTCTTCTGAGGAGGATGGAACATTACAAAATTAGATTTGGTTATATTTAATGACAATTTATTTGCATCCAACCAGTCAGAAACATTTTTAAGTTCCTCGTTAATAGTCTGTTCAAGATCTTTTAAATTTTTATTGGAATAAAACAAATTGGAGTCATCTGCAAATAAATGAAAATCTAAAACTTGAGAACAATTATTAAAGTCATTAATGTATAAGAGGAAAAGAATAGGACCGAGTACAGTCCCTTGTGGTACACCACAGGAGATATTTGAATACGCTGAATTAATATCTTTTATAGAAACAAATTGTTTTCGATTAGTTAGGTATGACATAAACCAGTCTCTCGCAATACCTCTTATATGCCATAAAGTTCTAATTTACGAATCAAAATACCATGATCGACAGTATCGAAAGCCTTACTGAAATCAAGAAAAATTCCACACGAGTATTTTTGGTTATCAATTGATCTTTGAATGGTATCAGTAATGCACAGTATTGCATGGTCCGTTGAGTAATTGGATCTAAACCCAAATTGTTTGGGATAGAGTATATTCTTTTCAGCAATATAATTCATTAACCTCCTATGCATTAGTTTCTCCAGCAATTTATTAAAAATTGAAATTAATGAGATTGGTCTATAGTTGTTCATACACATTTGTGATCCGCTTTTATGTATAGGTATAACCCTGGCAATTTTGAATTTACACACTGTAAAAACTGATAGGTTAAAATAACCTATTAGTAAAGGTTGTCACTTATATAAATAGGTTGTTTTAACCAATTGAATAGGTTATAACCAAAATAAATAGGTTAAAATAACCAATTATTTTTTGGTTGATCTCGAACATTTGGGTACAACTAATATAAATAGGTTAATTTAACCAATTGACCAAAGTAAATAGGTTAAAATAACCAATTCTTTTTGGTTAATCTTGAACAATACAACTAATATAAAAACAAGTGAAAGAAACTCTAAAGATCAATAACATTTTTATATTTATCAATGGAGTTTTATTTGTATTGTATTTTGTAAAATACTCAGTAGTTCTAAAAATTATTGTAGTTTAATAGGTTGTTATCTTGGGTGTTTAGCTGATACTGATAACAATAGCCAGGTTGTTTTAAATATTTTTATAATACTCATTCATAATACATAAACTTTGTACGTGGCAAATAATGTCAACCATTAATGAGTTAAATTATAAGCCAATAATAATTGCTCAAAAGATAAAACAGTTATAGGCAATTATAGGCAATACTAGTTCAGTACGTCATAATCTTTGTTAATAAAATTAGAAAATGCATCTTATTTTTTACATATTTATACTGATAGTATACTATATACAACACTGTACAGATCTAACATTGAATTGTTTATCACAGTCATTTCAACATATAATATGCATCATGCAGGAACCACACCACCATAAATCATCTTTTAATCTCCACGACTCCACATATTTTGGGGGTGGGTGGGTAGGCTGGCTATTTATGGGAATGAATAGTGAAAAGAGGTGGGGTTTTAGCAATTGACATGAATATACAGTTATACTACAACTTTAATAGTTGGTCTGTCATAAAGTCATAAACTGAGTTTATAGTGATCTAATATATTTTCAGCAAAATGTCCTGGGGAGGGCATGTGGGGAGGTCTAGTCTCCAGAACTAAAATATTTAAAATATGTATGTACCTTATATTGCGTCGTAAATTCTTTAATTATTGGCATGCAAGGAAGATATAACAAGACAGCTAGAATTTTGAAAATGGAATTAAGAGTTTCTGTCAAAAAACAGAGATACAGGATTATTTGCACTGGATTGTTCACATTATTGAGATCAGTGCGTTCAGTCAATCGCGTTGCCAAATATGGGCTCCCATAAGGCTTAGCGAGCACACATCCGAGCGCGTCCTTTGGAAATTTTATTTTAACGTCGGTTGATATGGCCAAGATTTCTTAACATATTGAAGAAAATAAGAAGTAATACTCCAATTTTTGAAGATAAAGACAATAATTTTAAATGTAAGTGTTCAACTATGTCAATATTTTTAAGTTTCGTGTGTAAATATGTGCCATAAATAGTAATATTTCATGTATATTTTAACCGCCGTGCGTTGGCCTCATGTATATTTGTGTGAAAGGTTCGACAATATATTGTTATTAAAATGCATTAAAACTTAGTGATATTGCCTTGTATATTTACAGATTATATTTTCAAGCAATTAATAATGCCATAATATGTGATCTAAGCAAGTCGAACTGTCGAAAACATGATATATACTGGCTAGAAGAAGGTATGAAATATACAGTAGATAGAACAAAGGTAGGATTGTTCTCTCACACAAAGCTATAGAACTTGCTTTGGCGATTATATCAATATTAGCTAAGCGAGTCAATATTGATACCCTCTCAATATGTTAACAATGTAAATATTATATTGTTATAAAAGTATTGTCAGATGGCATGTATTGAGAAGGTATCAATACAGTATATTGACTCATTTACCTAAATTATATTGATTTAATTAAGTTCTATGGCTTTCAGGTTTAATAGGAGAACTATCCTTCCTTTGTATTATCTATATTGTGCTACACAGTAAATAGCTATATTTAATATCCAGACAATCCCTGACTGTTGCTGAATACATTGAGGATACATTTTTGAGTTTTTCATAGTTTATATGCCTCTGAGAAATCCCAGGCTCACATTTTATGCATGAAGAAACTGTTTAACATTATACATGGAGAGTTTTCAGCCCGGGCTGAGTTTCTGCCTGGTTAAACGAGCTGAAATTGCATCACAATAATTTGCATGAGCAGTTTGAGCTCGGTCTGAGTTTAGTCGGAGCTACAGTATACTGTAAACCTCCGACAATAAGCCCCTCCGAATATAAGCCCCCATGTATAAGCCCAGGTGTGCCACATGTACTAACGCTCACCTAAATCCAAATATAAGCCAGCCCCCCTCCCCCGTATATAATTCCCCCGAATATAAGTCCCCTATTAAATTAATATAAGCCCAGTAATCGCTGCTTAATACATATTTATTTGTTGTTTATGACTGATTTGTTTTATGTCTGACTTGTTTATTACTAACACAAAATATCGTCCATGTATAGGCACCCCCATATATAAGCCCCCCCTTGTATAAGCCCATCAAAAATCGCTTACGAAAGTATATAAGCTCAGGGCTTATAGTTGGAGGTTTACAGTAGAGTGTAGTGAAATAGGAGAATAATAATCTATTATGAGAATAAGCCTGTTACACTTCTTTGAAGCATTAAGATGCTGATTAGTCGACTATTTCACTTTTGTGAGACTGTGGTTACATGTATAGTATATTTAAAGATGAAACAAACACTCAAAATAAAGCCATTTAAACAGTTGGTTTTTTAGCCGGGGCTGGAGTTATTTGTGATTACATGCTGCCGGGCTGAAATTTCAGCCTGGGCAGCTCAAACGTGGCTGAATAATCATGTAATAACCACTTGTTATGTTTTAATAGGATTTTATCCTTGGGCCAGGCTGAAACTTAGCCCTGGTTGAAAACTCTCCATGTAATCAGCCCCATAGGGGCCACGTCCATATTCATGTTGCCACCAATAACGTCAAATCGGGAGTCAAAATACGACTGAATATCGATCAACATTATCTGGAGTGGGTGGGTGCCATGGATGAAGTGATAACATTGATTCAATGTTATTTGTGGCAACATGAATATTGTGACTTGGCCCCTAAGAGCTGTTAAATTCCTAAGAGCAGAAAATTGTGCACTTTACAAAGATATTTTAATTTCCCGGATTTGTCCTTTCAACTTTGTGAGCAAGGCTTTGGCAATACAATGTTTACAGTGAAGTTCTTTCCTATGATTTCACATATCTTTTCAAATCAAAGTATTATAAACACCCTCATTTTATAACCAATTAAATGAAAGTATCAATCTTATATCAACAGTATCAGTTATTTCGCCTGATATCGTCCAACATATCTGACATACTGACATCTAGCTGAATAGCAAAAGGTTCTATCTTGTGGCTCGTGCAGCCCTAGAAATGACAAGGTGCCCAATTGTGACCAATTGTTTTATACCAGGTATTTCTCAAAGGTAGCCCTCGTTGTGACTGAGAAGAAAATTTAAAAAAGACTAGTGTACAGGCTATTTAAGGTTTCTGTGTAATAGTAGGATTATCTAAAGTAACTTGGACTGTAGAATAATCCCAATTTTTATTTTGTAGCCAATTACTCACCACAGAAAATTACAAATTGGCACAGCAAGGCATGTTCAAGGGAAAACCTGGCATTGTGTGCACAGACTCTGAGAGATACCGTACAGCAAGAACTGGTTTAATTTATGGGCTTCAGTTACTGTACTTCACATTGTAAGTCATTGTGCACAACCAGGGCTCGAAACTTGCGATATCCCGATATCCACAGGATATCAGATTTTAATTTTGGATACTGGGTATCATAAGCTCAGTATCCCAACTGGATACTAGGAAAACTTAGAAATTGCGATAGTAGATAATCATCTAGACGTTTGGCATGTTTCCGAACTTCAATGTCTACGGATTTTGGCAGAATATTAAAAAAAATTCACAAACGGTGCTTTCTTTCGTATCGCCGCAGTGTGTTATTTTAAATTTTTTCAAATTTCAATACATATTTTTATTATTGAAACTAAAGGCCTGGTTTTTGCTCAGCAACTGAAGGCCTGGTTTCAAGGTAAAATTTTGCCTTGCTTAGATACTGGAAATAGAATATCTTGTATCCAAATCTGGGTTACTATATTTCAAGGATGGATACTAGATTCTATGATGCTGGTATCCACTCGGATACTGACAAAAATTTCAAGTTTCGAGCCCTGCACAACTTTATAATAGTGTGTATTAATATTTCTCTGCCATTACAATATAGTGATGTGACCACATTCTTATTCGACTGTGTTAACCCATTGAGTTGCATTGTGCCCTACTTTATTATTTTACTTTGTCTAACACCAGACTATTTTACTCGTTAATGGGTATAACTGTCCTATCCGCCCATGTGTCTAGTTAACCCATCGAGTTGCATCGTGCCCTGATGCACCCTATTTTAATGATTATGATACTCTGTCTAACGCAAGATTATTTCACTATGTCTAATAGACTAATACCAGATTGATTACAGACTTACAGTGATTACAGTTTTTGAAGAAAGAATTGTTTAGTATCCATACATGGATTAAACCATTAACCTATATTAAGATACTTAATCTATATAAAACCTTAATCTATATGTGTATTATAGAATTATTAGAATTAGAACTTAACTATATATGTGTATTTTAATCTGTATAGAAATTTATTCTATGTTTGATCTTTTTGTAGAGTTGGAAAACCGTTGTATCATGGCAGCTTTGACGTCCAGTATGTCCTTGAGGAGAAGGAGCATACCTCAGGAGAACCTTTAATTAAAGTTGTTCTTGTAAGTGAATTTTGTATATTTTATAACATCTAGATAGAATGTTTGTGATGTTACTCTGAGTGTAACCTGAAGTTCAGGCCCTAATCACAGAATAGGGCCTGACACAAAACCTATCTAAACTGTGGGATTCCCGTCCACCTGGTGGACGGGAAATCTGATTGGTTGATCAGCATCATGAAGGATTTTGATTGGTTGCAAGTTTACATAAACAACAGTTTTAAAAATAGCTCGATCAAGGCGACAATTAATAATATAAAGGTCAAACGCACATGGCAAATTCCATTATCGATTTCTTCGAATTTCTTTTCTTTTATGCTTTATGGCAGAAAATAAATCAAACAAACAGTATTTTGAAAGGGCTTTATCAAAATCTTGGACGAATTTTGGACACACGACGCTGAAAGAACAGCCAAACTAGTCATGTATTCGAAAGCTTGTTGTTGACAGCCAACTTAGATGTTCTGCCAACTGGCTTCGCCAGCAAAAGTCTTATTTTTAATATCAGGTCCTACCGGCGTTGTTTTCTGAGCTACTGTACATCGCCTTCTTCGTGGTACGATTGAGAATTTCATTGTTGCTGTTGTTAGCCCGTTAGAATATATCGGAGTCCAGCAAGTTGAGACCTTGAGAAAGCTTGGCAGTCAAGCCGTGCACAGAACTGACTAATTAAATCTTTGTTTGCTGTTCGGTTAAATAGAGAAACTGACTCTTAATTATATAAAAGTACCTTGAATTTTTAAGTTTAATTATAAAGCAAAATGCACACTCTGCGGATATGTTCATGAGAATATAAATTTTGTGTAAACGAAATCTACAACACTTGTCAATCATATTGCATGTTGTGTCTAAAAATAACATGTGGGCGTCCCACGGTCTAGACAGGTTTTGTGTCAGGCCCTATTTCAAATTAGGGCCTGAACTTCAGGTTACTCTGAGTGTGAATCCACTCCGGGCAAGCTGAAAATTTTGTGGGAATCGAACCTGCGATCTTTGGGATACTAGTCCAATGCTCTGCCAAATGAGCTACATGGTCAAGTCGGTTCGAGTTGATGATATTTCGGAACTGAGTCTAGTTCCTTCTATATCAGTGTATTCTATATGATTATTTTTTATGTGTGTTGGTGTTATGTACTTGATGTTATGTACTCAGGTGATGTACTCAGTATGACAAAAAATAATCAGACATATAGAATACACTGATATAGAAGGAACTAGACTCAGTTCCGAAATATTGTCAACTCGAACCGACTTGGCACATCAGTTGGCAGAGCATTGGACTAGTATCCCAAAGGTCTCGGGTTCGATTCCCACCATGGCCAAGCTAACTTTTCAGCTTGCCCGGTGTGGATTCACACTCAGAGTAATATCACAAATATCATATTCACTGAGTACATAATGCCAACACACACAAAAAATAATCTAGATAGAAATTATGAAGTGATGTATATTTTTGTAGTGTAACTACAGGAGAAGAAGTACAATATTTAGACAAAAGTGTAAGTTGTGCATGAAATGCTTATTTCACTCAGTTATATATTTCCTTGTTGCAGGATGATTCTGAAATTGCTCCCAAAATATCAGGATGCTCAACCCCTCGTCTATTTGCTACTGGACTTCTGGAAGAGATAAGTTCGATTTCATTGATTGCAGAGGGAATGGTTGTAAAAAATTCAGATACGATCCGTGCAATATTACCAACGCAGTGGCACGTTTGCTTGCAGGGTACTATGTTTTAACATGCAGTACCCAAAAGGGGCCAACAGGTCATAGTAAGAACATTTACATGTTTTAGTAAGTTAGAACATGTTCTTTTGGCCAATAATTGCCATACCGGTACTTTACCAATTGACGTGGAGAACTTCCTAAGCTAAAGGATTTTATGAACACATTAAATGGAACAATTTATGTTAATGAAATTTATGATAATGATGATATTGTATCACTAATTTAATGCATGTATTGTACATGCAGGATATATTGTCCCGAGGAGAGTTATGACCCTCACAATCATGGGCTATTTCTGTGAATGTTTCTATATAGTATAACTCTAAACTATATATAGCTTACAAGCTAATGAATTGTGTGAGATAACCATTGTTTCTTCTATATATGAACCGCATGCCATCAAACACTGCACCACTTCCACTTTACTGTTTTGCAATTGTCGCACACTGGAACTCAATTATCTCGTAGATTATTTTAATTATATATTATATATAAGACTTATGCATTCCTTAAGAAAATACATGATTTTTATCAAAGTATTGAAATTGTTTTAATATTTACTAATTTGACTTTGAGTCAAATATTGATTTTAACCTATTTGATTTTAACCTATTTGATTTTAACCTATTTTTTTAGGTTAGATCAACCGCATGTAACCTATTTTAAAGGGCTGGTTTAGACTCATGGCCTTTACCATTATTAATGAGTTGTTTCAACCATTAAGAATAGGTTATATTTGTATTAACCAAAATTTATAGGTTAAATTGACCAAATATTATTGGTTAAAATGACCAAATATTTATAGGTAAAAACAACCTATATTTATTTGGCAAAAACAACCTATATCTCTGAGTAGATTTAACTGTTTAAATGTAGGTTGTTTTAACCTAAAAATAAATGTTATAATAACATATTTTAAATAGGTACAATTAACTATATTACAGGTTAAAATAACCCACTAGAAATGGTTTGTTTTAACCTATTTAGTTTTAGTTATTTCTACCTATTTAAATAACCTATTTTAAACCGGTTGTCCTAGACCAACTGAAATAACCTATTTTTTTTGGTTATTTTAACCTATCAGTTTTTACAGTGCATGGTACGATGCCAGCTGAAAATGAAAAATTAAATATTATTTCCAATGGTTTGGACAATGATGTTTTAAAAAGTTTCAACATTTTTACAGAAATACTAAAAGGACCAATTGATTTATTTGGATTTAGCGTAGCAATTTCATTTTCTATTTCAGTGGAAGTAACTGGTGATAAAAAGAAACTTCCTGCATCTTGATACTTGAGATAATCATACGGAGATGTTTTTGCACTTGGTATCGCCTCTGCCAATTTCATACCAATACTTGAAAAAAAACTGTTAAAAACGTTAGCTATGGATCTCTTATCAATTATTTCCTGGTCACCAATGATCAATTTTGAAGGAGCCATCTTGTTTCGGTTATTATTACCCATGATCTGCTTAATACCACTCCATAATTTCTTATTGTCATTGTTTATAGTGGAGAAGTAATTATTATAGTATTGTTTTTTGCTTATTTTAATTAAATGGTTTAATTTGTTTCTATAATACTTAAATTTCAAAAAATACTTATGTAATTTAGTTTTAATATATTTTTTGTATATTGAATTCTTTTTTCGTATTGATGTTTGAATGGCTTGGGTTATCCATGGTTTATCTTTTAATTTAATTTCCTTTTTGGAAAGTTTCCTTACAGGAACATGCTTGTTAACAATCTCTTCTACGCGAGTATGAAATGTATCAAACATATCATCAATATTTGTAGTATGTGACAAAGCTTGATCCCAATCAGTTTGATCAATCTCATCAATAAAACGTCCTTCATTCAATTTGGAATAATCTCGTACATGCACTTCAAATTTGGATTTTTTAGGATGGATTTTTTTAATAATAAGAAAATTTGGAAGATGATCGGTCAAATCATATACCAAATTTCCACTAAATTTAATATATTCAATTGAATTAAAAAAAATATTATCAATTAAAGTTGCTGAATGATCTGTAATTCGCGTTGGTTGCAAAATTTGCGGATGGAAGAAAAAACTAGACATTGTATTGATGAAATTGTTCGTGTCTTGATGATTTTCATATTTAAGAAGGTCCAAATTGAAATCACCCATTATTAAACAATACTTTTTTTCCCTATTAATTTTTTGTAAATTTGCGTTAAGATTATTCATGAAGTTTTCTGCACTCCCGTGAGGGTGTCTATAGAAAGCTGCACAAAGGATATTTGCTTGACCTTTGATTTCAATTTCAACCCAAAGGGATTCAAAATCGTCCGTACTAATTGACAACTCATCTCGTATACTAAAGTTTAGGTTATTATTTATGTAGAAGCCAACTCCACCAGCATTAGAATTAGTAGGTTGAGACACAAATTCATACCCGTCAAGTAAATGATTAAGTAGGATATCTTGATCAAATTTAATTTTTGTTTCAGTGAGGCCAATGATGTTAAATGAAAAATCTATATTAGAGAGCATTGTGCTAAGTTTATCAAAATTTGCATTCAGACTTCTAATATTACAATGAATTGTAGAAAATGAGTTATAATCATGTACGCATTTACTTTCAGTGCTAAGCTCATCACAAGTGAATAGTATCTAAAATTAACATCATTTGGCATATTCTCATCAATATCACAATTGTTAAGCTGTGGATTATTTCTGAATGAGAATGCTTCAGCATCAATGTCAAGGCTTGACAAGTTGTCAACGCTAAAGTTTATGTTGGTCTGATCACACATTAAGTATAATATAACACATAGTTGTACTTAGCTGTATTAGCTTACACGTGCACACAACAATGAAGTTAATTTCTATCCTTATACCAGAAAGGAATTATCGGCGATATATTCCGTCATACTATGACGCCAATTTATTTTCCAAATCAGATTGGTTTGAAATGCGGATTGCAGGGCTATTCTCGTCCTTTCGAAGAAAAACATTGCCATTTTTAGTCCATACGAACTTGAAATTGTTTACTCGCTTCGCTTCTAAGCATTTATTAAACAAAAGTTTATTTTGCTTAGTAAGACTTTCTACAATGAATATCTTGTTTTGCAATTCGAAGCCAAATTGACTCGTTGAGATATTACGGAGGTTCTTGCGTGCACTGTAGATTTCGTCTCGTACATTTCGTCTTGTGAATTTCGCAATTATGGGCGGCGGCGATGAAGACAATGCTCGTGCAAAAGTCGGCCTTCGTGCTGGAAGACGATGACTTATCGAAATGTCCTCCTTCTGAATCTTTACCCCGACTGCTTCGCTTATCTTTATCACAATTTCATCGGTCTGCTCTGGAATATAAGAATTACTCGCTGGTATACCTCTAAACTCCAGACAGTCTCTTCGGCCATATTGTTCTTGTTCGTTGACCATATGGTGTAGAGCTGCAATTTCTGTACTCGCTTTAGTTAATTCTGCTTTCAGTTCGCTATTTTCTTTCATAATCAAGGTTTTTGTCGTTCAGACTCTTCCATTCTTTTAATCAATTCATCATATTTATCGCTAATAAATTGTAGTGACTCGGTTGCTACATTAAGACTTTTGCTCATTTCTATAATTTTTGAGCTTAATGGAGCTAATTTTTTATCAAATAATGCTTCAAGACTTTTCTTATCCATGTTATAAATGTTGTTGGTCGAAGCTTTCATTTAAAGTTTAAAATAAAAGCCGTAAATTGACCAAATAGTCGGAGCTCAATAAAGCCATCCGCCATCTTGAGCAACGTATCACCCTGCATACTCATTCAAAACATGTACCTCAACAATCAAACACAGAAACAACTTTCAGTAACAGTTACTGTAATACTGTAGGAGCTAAAATGACTTTGGGGGCAAAATGAACATCACGGATACCAATTGACAATATACTGTATTTTACACTACATGGAGTATGGTACTGACCACAAGACTCAGATCACGACACTTTATAATGATTATTTACAATGCTACAAAACGTTGAGAAAGTTTAAACAGGTCATTGTTTAGCCATATAGGTTATTGCAATTATGGTGGTGATGTATGGTCAGCCATATTGATATTGAAATTTCAATATTTCATGATTCATGAGCACAAGGAAGTCGCACGTGCACGACGTATTCTATGCAAATATAATGAAATAGTAAAAAGAAAGGGTGCTCTTGCACCGTTCCTGTCAAGTAATACTTTGAATCGTTTAACGTCTAATTATCAACTTTATTTTCGAACATTTGTTCACGTGAGTAATTAATAATAACTAAAATAATCGTCACTGATTCCTCGTTAAAAATTTCCTATAAATATTTAAATATATTTCGTATAAATATTTCCTTGCTTATTCGCATACCTTAACCTTTTCGTAACTGGTTCCCTACTGATCAGAAGCTTTCACGATTGATTCTCGCTTGTCCTTCGCTGTGGAGTTCATTTCATCGTCGTAAAAAGACTTTAACACACGCTTTTGCTCATCGGTCAAAACATCATAATTTCTTCCAGCCATTTTGACAAAACTGAAAAAGACCTTCCTAGATCCTACCTGCGATCAGGCTCCTTCACCCTCAGAGCATCAGGTCAGATTGCTCAGGTGATCATCCGGCTCACATATAAGTGACGTTCTAAAATTTAGAACTCTTGCTATATGTGATTTAGAACACGAGGAACGAGTGTAATAACAATGAACAGAGCACTCACCGACATACCAAGGGTCTTCACCCCAAAAGCCCTGGCATGGGAGACACTGGGTACATGTTGCAATTTACATATGGGTTATAAATATTAATCTATTAAATACAGTCATTGTTTGGGTTCTTTTTTTTATATTTTGTATAAAATAGGTTATTGGACAAGTACTAGTGTAAGACATTGTGTAGCGTTAATAATGAGAGGACCAATATCAAGGCCTTTTTTAACATACGAGCCAGGAGGAGGCAAATGACCTCCCCCCCCCCCCCCACCCCTCGCAAAACCACATGCCCCCCTCACATAAACATATAAACAAACAAACAAGCGAAAATTAACAAATTGATAAACTATACCTCTAAGTAATGATAAATTATGGTTAATAATTTTTTGTGTATTTTCTCTGGGTATACTTAGCATAAATTTTAGAGTAAATTTCAATGCTTAGAATGCAGAAAATGGCATTTCTGGGCTCCAAATTTCAAAAATTTTCTGGGGAAATATGCCCCAGGCCCCGTGGCCTTCAGCCATTCCTATCCCTCTCTAATATATTATCTCACATAAGGGTCCCTTTTCAAAAAATGCCCCTCTCCCCCACTAGAAAATCCTTAAAAAGGCCCTGACATTAATGTCGGTTTGCATATTAAATTCATACTTCAGACAACACCACATGTTGTTCGATCACACTTGCGATAGTGAAATCAGGCACAAATTAAACTATATATATATATATCAATTTATAATGAAATCACAGCAATCAGATGGACAAAAAAATTGTTTGCCGAAGGAACCAGGGCCAAAAAATTTGTTTGCAATGACAACAACACCAAAAAATATGTTTGCGTTGACAAAATGTCCATCCAACCCTCCAAAAAAATAATAGTCCGTCCCTTAGACCATGTGCATATTCTGTAAAACTATTCTGTGGTTTGAGGGCACATATCCAAAGTTGTTTTGCGAGGGGGTGTCCTTTGTAACAAGACCGAATTTCCTGTAATGTTTGCGGGTGGCTTTTGAGCCACCCTATAATACAAAAGAAAGAATATATAATTTTATATCGAAATTTGTTTGGAAATCAACCAAGTTACTAAGTTAGCACATAATTGCAAATTATCTATTGCTTGGATAGAGTAGTTCCCCCAAAAAATGTTTGAAGTTTTGAATGCCTTGGACTAACATTCCTGCATTTTCTGATATACATGTAGGTACTTTTGGATAAATAATATCTAAATTCACTATAGAATACTCACTATTCTTTCAATCAGTGGGGGCGCCGAAGACGGAATACAGCTGTAGTGTGGTCCAGCGCAGCTGCCGGTTCATGCTTCCTCTCAGGACAAAAATTAGTCCAGAATCCCTGAAATGTAACTTCCAGCATTTTGGGGAAGATCATATACAAAATTCTGAAGATTGTATTGTACATGAAACACATAATTTTTCATGATTATATGCAGGTATAAGGGAACTATACATTGAAAATAGGAATTTTCACCTTAGTTTTCATTGAAAATCTGGCAAAAGCCTAGCCTGTTAAACTGAGACATTATGCCAATTGTGTGATGTGCATTAAAAATTTGCACCCAATTGTTTATTTTTTTTGACATATGCATTGGATGCACAAAATGATCACCTGTTTTGGATCAAAACCGGACAAACAGTACAACATTTTAGGACAGACTTTTAGGATCAAATTCATAAATGTTGAGAGCTAAACCCATTTCATATTTTCCTGCAAATATGTTTGGCTACATCAGGGACGGGAGGGGACAAAAAAAAAACCTCCCACATTTTTCGAACATTAGTTTTACATAATGGGGCTTAAATATAGTTTTGCAGAGCTTTTCCAACCTCAATTATCTAGAAAATTTCTTAATATTTAACATGATCCGCAATCCTCGGGCTCCCTCTCAGCAATTAAACAGTTTGCACTCACTATTCGTTGGGGGTGTTACACTCCCCCCCCCCCCACACAAACACACCCAGTAGGTCCGGCCCTGGGCTACATGAATTACAAAATGCGCATCTGACTAGACTAACCTGCTCCATTTAACCACTAACCTGCTCCGTAAAATGTAATGTTGATCTAAAAATTGATCATTCGCCGGTTGGTTGTGGTTGGAGTTGCTTCAACCTAACAATATACGAAGGAAATACAGTACTGTTGGAAACCTACAGATATCAGTGTAAAGATGAAAAGAATGAGAATTAATGGTTGCGGGCTCTGATAGTGCTACATCAGAGAGTGATGTTGAGAATTCGTATAACACTGACAGCGAAGTGGAAACTGATTCTGTGTTCGAGAGTAATTCTGATAATGTAGATGATACTAGTAATGAAGTAGGTGATGAATACGAAAGCGATCCATGGGCTCCTTTAAAAGCTAAAGCAACCCAACAAAGTTTATCGGAATTCGAAGAATTAACGCAGAAGTTCACTGCAGAAGGTTTTGACGAAAGGAAGCTAAAGACAAGGCATATTTACTTATCCTACCAAAATTGGGTAAAGATTTGCAAAATATTTATTTGGAACGTCTACTATGGATAAGACAACTAAAGAGAGATCCAATACACAAAAAAGATGTCGACCACAGGGATGCGTTAGAGGCCGCTATTGACAAGACAAAACTTATTTTGAAAAGAATTTTCAGAAACACACGGTATCGTAGTGACATTGACTCTTAATGGTTGTTTGTGTTTGATTTATAAAAATAAAATACGATCCTGTGTGGCAGCTATTTTCCCTTAACCCATTTCTAGAGCCCTCTCCCAAGTCCCGACAAACATTCAAAAAGGCCTTTGGGGCCACATCTATTTAATTGTTAGGAATCAGTTAACATTTATCATTTGACATTATGCCTCGGAAGTGTAAAATTGTCCCATCTGCGGCAAGCGAGCTTTAAAAAGATTGGCAAACCATTTGGCAGACGTCCATGAACTTCCGTCCCAAGAAAGACAACCTTATCTTATTCGTGCTAAGCCAACAGCTTTAGACTTAGAAAATGTTTTAAAAGAGTTGTACAGATTAAGTGGGAATAGTAAAAAGCAGTCCATGTGGAATAAAAGCGGGATAAAGAATATACCCATGGAAATATATTATTTATTTATTAAGTTAGCTGCCTCGTTTAACCTAATGGTTACTGCTGCTAGCTTGCACCCATATCAGGATCCAAATATTTACTGTAAATAACTTAATTGAAATAATGGTGCTGAATAAAATTGATTGATTAATTGATTGATTGATTGATTGATTGATGAACCAAAATCCTCCAGGAAGAGAACAAAATCAAATACAAAATATACAAAGAACGTGGACAATACAGAAATGAATGATGGCTCAAAGGAGTCGTTAAAGTTAGAAACAAGAAAACTCTTAAGTGGATAATACTATATATATATATTAATTTATATATATGTTTGTTATGGACTCTCCACTGGTGCTGATGTTTTTGCTATCACTGAGCTTGGTTCACAGATAAAGATATGGCACATAAGGCTGAGATCACTTTGCGCGGTTATAAACTTCTCGATCATCCCCGTACTGAGAGAAGCGGAGGTGGAACAGCTTTGTTATTTAGGGACAATATTACTGAACACAAAGTCGACGGCGGCGAACGCAGGTCATTTGAGTTTTCCGAATGGATACTACAATATCGCTCCTGTAAACTGAGAACTATTATCGTTTACCGTCCTCCCTATTCTGCTGCACATCCTGTTGTCACAAGTGTATTTTTCGATGAATTCTCCACATATTTGGAATCTGTAATCATGTCCTCCGAACCTTTGTTAATCGTTGGAGATTTTAATATCCATGTCGATATCTCACGTGATCCCAACGCTATTCGATTTCTTGATCTGTTGTCTTCTATGAGCCTTGATCAACATGTTGACCAGTCTATACTCACACATCAGGACACACCCTTGATCTGATAATCACGCGGAATTCTAATACTTTACAGTACTGTCCAGAAATAAACTAACAAAAACCGCGTTAACCTAGGTCAAACCTATAGGTCGAACCTAGCTTGAACCTAGGTTAAAGCTAGGTCAAACCAAGGTCAAACCTAGGTCGAATCTTGTCAAACCTGGGTCAAACCTAGGTTAGACCCCGGTTAGACCTCAGTTTGACCTATGTTTGACCTAGGTTAACCGCGGTTTGAGTGACGTTTGGTGATTCAACGGTATTTTTGGGAACGACATATTAAAGAGAATTTATATAGCACCTCCAACACTAATTCCAGCTATATTCTTAATCTTAAACTCTATTCTCAAATCCTAATAATATTTATTCCAATCAAAATCTTAATTGTGATCTTAGTAGCTATAATCGCTATAATCGACAATTGAAAGAAATTGCGGCCCGGATTTAATTGATATGCTCTTAAGCGGTGAACTGAAAACAAAAGAAATGGGATGAAAATAGTCGTCAGAAACAGAGTAAATCGAGGGTGGCTATATATATGGTATATATATAGGGTTTCTGAAAGCAATGTGATGTTAACTGGAGACCTGGTTCTTACCATTTATGTGTCGTTTGAACATAAAGGCTCATCATGTTGCAATGTTGGATATATATGAAATGAATTATAATTATAATTTTTTAACTCGTATTCTGTCCCTTTCTTGTTTAGTATAATTACTTGATTATGCAATCCAGTACTTCCTGAAGCATGACATGACCTTCAGTAATTTAACCAGGTGGCTAAGAAACTTACTGCATGTGGTGAACTATGTCGCTCCAATGATTCACAGAAGGATGCACGCTCACTGTCATTAGATCTTAGGCAAATTTTACACATTGCCCAATCTTTATTATAATAATTAACGTTAAAGTAAAATCGCAGACAATGTGTACATATATATATATATATGTATATATATATATATATATATATATATATATATATATATATATATATATATATATATATATATATATATATATATATATATATATATATAAATATGCAATATTTCCAGTATCCGACCAGAAACAATGCAGACATAATGAGGTTGTCTCATTAGGGACCATTAGCTAGCAGGACGGCGACAGCTATTAATGCAATGAAATTTATGACAGTGTAGAAAGAAAATGCATAATTAAAGGTCCCTTGGGAGTTTTGGACGTCGTCCTTGCTCTGTTTGCAACAGCAAACCAAAGATTTTCATGCTTATGTACTCAGCGTCTGCCTTTCAAGCCGGGAGAAGTCGTCTGCGCCAAATTGGCTTAGTAGAAGTTTTCTCAACTATAAACCTCTATCTTAACCTTCTTAAATTGCAATAAATTAATATACTGGATAATACAAGACATATTGATCTTAAACTTACTTATTCGAACGATTTTATTTTGGCCGTCGTCGTCGCGTTGCCATCACCTATTTGCTAAAGGTCCATATTATCTTGCTGAATCGAGCGCGGCGCTAAATGGGAGGGGTAGTCGGCAAAATTGTGAATCCCAGTCGCCAAATTGTTTTCGTAATCGGCAAAACATGAATTTGACAAGGGGAAAAATATGGATTGAAACAGATTTAAAATTAATAATTATACCTAAAACTTTAGGAGAATACATTAGGTGCCAATGTTCGTGATTCAACGGAATTTTTGGGAACGAAATAATATTAAAGTGAAATTATATAGCACCTCCCAAACTAATTCCAGCTATATTGTTAATCTTAAACTCTATTCTCAAACCCTAATAACATTTATTCCAATCAAAACCTTAACAGCGATCTTAGCAGACGATAATCGCTATAATAGACAAAGAAATTGCGGCCCGGATTTAATTTATATGCTCTTAAGCGGTGAACTGAAAATAAAAGAAATGGGATGAAAATAGCCATCAGAAACAGAGTAAATCGAGGGTTTCTATAGATATATATAGTATATAGTATACACAGGGATTCCGAAAGCGATTTGATGTTAACTGGCGACCTGGTTTTTACCGTTTATGTGTTGATTGAACATAGAGGCTCATCATTTTGCAAGCTTGCCTGGATATAAATGAAATGAATTATAATTATAACATTTATCTCGTATTTTGTCCCTTGTTTTGTTTAGTATAATTACTTTATTAAGCAATCCAGTACTTCAGGGAGCATAACTTGACATTCAGTAATTTAACCAGGTGGCTTAGAAACTTACTGCATGTGGTGAACTATATCGCTTCAATGATTCACAGAAGGAGGCACGCTCACTGTGATTAGATCTTAGGCAAATTTTACACATTGCCCAATCTTTATTATAATAATTAACGTTAAAGTAAAATTAAGATCCCAGACAATGTATATATATATATATATATATATATATATATATATATATATATATATATATATATATATATATATATATATATATATATATATATATATATAAAGATTAGCAAGGTTTGTTTGGCATATTTATTACCATACAGTTTCGTGCCACGTAAATAACGTGGCTATCTTCAGATAAAATAGGCTATTTTAAAATAGTTGTCACAGATAGAGTAAACCGAGGGATGTGAGCGAACCCGTGTCCCCCGATTGTCGGTGAGGTTGTTTTACCACTAGACCATAGGTTTTCCGAAAGCAATGTGATGTTAACTGGAGACCTGGTTCTTACCATTTGTGTGTCGTTTGAACATAAATAAAGGCTCATCATGTTGCAAGCTTGGATAAATATGAAATGAATTATAATAATATTTTAACTCGTATTTTCTCCCTTTTTTCTTAGTACAATCACTTCATTAAGCAATCCAGTACTTCCTGAAGCATAACATGACCTTTTGTTAATTTAAGCAGGTGGCTGAGAAACTTACTGCATGTGGTGAAATATATCGCTCCAATGATTCAGAGAAGAATCGGCGCCCTCACTGTGATTAGATGATATATAGGCAAATTATACACTTTGCCATATGTTTATTATAATGATTAAAGTTAAAGTAAAATTAAGATCCAAGACGATGCATCTATATATATATATATATATATATATATATATATATATATATATATATATATATATATATATATATATATATATATATATATATATATATATATATATATATATATATATATATATATATAACTACAGACGGTACTGTTTCGGCCTTATGGGCCTCATCAGTGTAGTGCTGATGAGCAGGATGAAAGTAACTGCTATTTACAGTTACCTTTGATGCCTCACGATTGTGGGACATCAAAACCATGCCAGAGCGCTCAAACTGCAAGCAGTGAGCGTGGACAATGCGTAAGCGGCATGGCTCATCCTGTAGAGCGCTCAATATGACCTAAAGGCCATAGAGCGATATCTAACTACAGACGGTACCGTTTCGGCCTTATGGGCCTCATCAGTGTAGTGCTGATGAGCAGGATATATATAAAGTGAAATTATATAGCACCTCCCACTCTAATTCCAGCTATATTGTTAATCTTAAACTCTATTTTCAAATCTTAATATTATTTATTCCAACCAAAATCTTAATAGTGATCTTAGTAGACGATAATCGTTATAATCGACAAAGAAATTGCGGCCGGATTTAACATAATTGATACGCTCTAAAGCGGTGAACTGAAAATAAAAGAAATGGGATGAAAATAGTCGTCATGCGAAACAGAGTAAATCGAGGGTTTCTATATATAGTATGCACAGGGTTTCCGAAAGCAATTTAATGTTAACTGGAGATCTGGTTCTTACCATTTATGTGTCGTTTGAACATAGAGGCTCATCATTTTGCAAGCTTGGATATAAATTAAATGAATTATAATTAAAATATTTTAACTCGTATTTTGTCCCTTTTTTTGTTTAGTATAATTACTTTATTAAGCAATCCAGTACTTCCTGAAGCATAACATGACATTCAGTAACTTAACCAGGTGGCTTAGAAACTTACTGTATGTGGTGAACTATATCGCTCCAATGTTCGCAGTAGGAGGCACGCTCCCGCGTATCGTTTTTTGTCACGCTAAATTTCGCGCCTTGTCAAAACAAAGATGGCCAACTCGAGGTTCGTGTTGCATGGTTGATGTCGACAGTTTATCGAAGAAAACAAGAACGATAATACAAAATGAAAGACATAAATTGTATATTATTTATATGAATGGACTATTTATTTTCTAAAATCATATTTGATGAGTAAATGATGAGTTGTTTTGAATTCTAAAATGAACCTATTTTTTCAAAACTGTTTAATTTCGGGTGTCAAACCCTGATAAAGGTACAAGTATATAACAAATAGGTTATCGTACTCGGGATTCTGTGATATCAGTTTTATCGCTCTCGGGATGATATCACAATTGTCCCTCGCTCGCTCCGCTCGCTCTCCACAATTGTGATATCATCCCTCGACCGATAAAACTGATATCACCTCATTCCTTATATGATAACATATATATATATATATATATATATATATATATATATATATATATATATATATATATATATATATTTAAACCGCTTTCTAACAGTGGGTTGTTTCTTAAATTTGACTCATTGGTTCGCGGGTAATAATGCTTTACGTTATTGCTATTGGAGATTAAAAAAATTGAGTTGGAATAACTAAACGTTCTCATGCAAATAACTGATTTTTTCATTAAAACAAAAAAATGTTTCATTTTATTAAATGGATTGTAACAATAAGTATAATTACGGCTTTTCTTCCACTATTTTTAACTCAGTTTGAAACTTCAAATGCGATATAGTTTTGGCTTGGACCATCTAAGCTGACTGACATCAAATTTCTGTTTACATTACATCGCAATCGAGTTTACATTACATAGACACTAGAATGTTTTGGCGATTTTTAGCATTCGTTTAGGATTTTCAAACAACCTGGTCGCTTTTTTAAAATACTTTTAATTTGTTCTTATACGTGGTTTTCCAGATGTACTGACGACAACATTAAAGTTTAAAGAAGAAAATTCTAACATTTAAACCGACTAAAC